TCTGGTTGCAATGAAAAAGGTTATTGCATGTTTAACATCATGGTTGTCCGTGACTGTACCACTTTGTAATCTAAATTAGAATTTGACCACGATAAAAGTGTTTGAAGGAATTGTTTCGGACGTCTGGTTTGTAAGTTCTTTGAACATCATTGTTTATTACAATTTCTTTTACAGGGCCTTATCTAACTGGATATTTGTGCAACGCGATTGGTCGTAAGCCATGTTTCATTCTAGCAGGATTGGTTACTCTGTTGTCATTTATATTACTGGCTACAGCTAATAATTTGGCTATGATATATGTTGGCAGAGTTTTCTGTGGATTCGGAACAGGAATTATATTAATTGTGAATCTTATTTATATCGGCGAAATAGCGTAAGTATGACTGTGATTAGAAATTATCAGTTTGATTTTTAAAGTTCTGAAGCTCAATAGCCTAATGGTTAAAGATGTATTCTTCGTCGGCGATATCGAATCATGTGGTCCAGTGTTCGAATCCAACCGTACTACTATTGTCGTAAAATTATTCCTTGCACAAGCTTAAAGCTTCCTTGGAATGGTACAAGAAATATTACTAAACAAGACATGAAAGTACGTCACGTCACGTTTAAGTGTACACTTTATTACATGCGAGTAAAGAAGGGCAAAGATTAATTATTTTTGATAGTTATAAAAAAAACGTTATCCAAATTTTTATATGTAAAGTTCAATTTTTTTTTTTAATTTCATTATCTATCTTTGATACTTCGGAAAGTAAATAGTTTTTTGAGTGCAAGTAATAATTTAAACTTGTAACATTTTCAGGTCGACCAATATTCGAGGTATATTGTTAACGAGCAATGCGATTTTCTCCACGTTGGGTACACTGATCGTGTATGCAGTAGGCCCCTATGTATCGTATCAGTTAGTCTCTTATATTGCAGCGGCCATTACGGCTGTGTACTTACTGGGGCTTTTCTTTATACCAGAATCTCCGACGTATTTGATTTTAAAAGGTACTTCACGTTTGTAATACATTATTGAATTGCTTTAATTTTATAACGATAGTTTTCAAAATATTTGTGGAAAATGTTAACATTGCACGAGTTTTGTTTGAAGAAAAAGTAGTTAGTAAAATTGTCTTGGAGGTCACGAGGACAATAAAATTTTAACCTGATGTTAATTGTATTTATAAACTAAAAGAGTAACAATTTCATCCAGAATTTATTGAACTATAATTCAAAAGTATAAACATTCAAGCTATGTAAATTAATTAAGTAAGTTTTAAGTAAATTTTAAATTTAATAGTACATATTTTAGACAGGAAAGAAGCCGCTGGTCTGGTAATGGAAAAGTTGGGGAGATCTAAAGAATACCATGCTTATCAAGAAATGAAGGTTACCGTTGAAAAGCAGAGCGTTGTAGAGGAATGGAAGCAAGTACTGACAGTAAAGAGCAATCGGAAAGCATTATTTATAACACTGACTTTAGGAATTCTGCAACAAGGCAGTGGTATAATTGCAGTCACATTTTTTGCAACAACAATTTTCCAATTAGCCGGTTCTTCTATAGAACCGAATATAGCCACAATAATAATTGGTGTAACACAAATATTTTCAAGCACGTTAACACCTTTCTTCGTCGAAAGGATTGGAAGGAGAATTTTATTGATATACTCAACGACAGTATGCACTTTAAGTTTGGTGAGTTCATTTCATATTTCAACTGATAATCGTATAGTTATTGTTAGTGATCTTAAATCATGTTATACTTGACAAGCTGGACAGACTAAGACGTAAAAAATCTAACGCAGAAAGGGAAGATGAAATCTTTGTAGAATTAACGGTGATTCCTTACTTTATTCACTTTATTGATGATCTGTTTATAGTTCTATGTGCTTAAAGTCTGGTTAAAATGATTCTTATGTTTTATTGTTGTAACAGGCGACACTGGGTGTATATTTCTACTTAGACTACATAAGTCATCCAACAGTTACCAAAATACAATGGTTACCGTTAGTGACGTTGATTATATTCTTCCTATCTTATGACTTTGGTGAGTATTAGAATTATTTTACGGTGTGAATTTTTGTAGTATAAATGCCCTCATTGATTTCGAATAGTGATGTGCTCTTTGATGGTTATTATTCTTTGTAATTTTAGATGGATTGATTAAAATTCATTTGTTTTTCAAATCAAGGTCGTTTATTAAGGCTAAAATATATATGCTAGTAAAGTGGGGATGAAACTGTTAGAGACGACTCAACGTCAAACTTCGTTCTCCCCCTCGATCCTCCCTAAACTTATAAGTAGCGACACAGAATCAAATGGCTTACTGCGTCCACACATGCTTGTAGCTAGCACGTGCAAGTGTCCAAGCTACTGAGACGTGTATTCACAACCTTTTGTGCACAAGATATTTCATAATTAGCTATATAAACTCCTTTAAATACTGATGCAACATGTTACTATAAATTCCATTTTATTGCAGGTTTTGGTGTAATTCCGGGCACACTGGTTGGTGAAATGTTCCAATCGAATGTTAGGAGTACTGGATCAACTATCAGTGTGACTTTCTCTTGGCTGTTCGGTTTCGGTTTGACGACCGTCTTCGGTCACATGATATCTGGCCTCGGAAGTCACGTCACATTCTGGATATTCTCCAGTATGTGTGCGCTGGCTTGTATTTTCGGAATATTCGTCGTGCCCGAAACCAAAGGAAAAACTTTGATTGAAATTCAAGAAATGTTAAATAAATGAGTTTTTTTAATTTAATTTTTATGTACATTCTTTAATTTATCTCTATTTTTTCTATAAAATTATTTCGGTTGGCGGGAATCTACATATACTTCTATACTATTATAATAAAGCGTAAATACACACTTTTTTGTTGCCAAAGATGTCAGTAATTACAGCATATTTTTGAATAATTCTTTATTTAATAAAAAGCCCCACACTTACGTCACTTTAGGCTATATATTTTCACACCATTAAACTTAGGGGGTAAATATTTTGGTTAAAAACCGTAATATGGGAAAGAGACCATAAGTTGCTGCCAACATCAAGAAAGCAATATTGCCATGGTTTGTCATGTCATGTCGTTTTGACATTTGCAATTGTTAATTTGACAAATGTGAACAATAAAATAAAATGTTCACAATTTCATGCGGATGAATCCGCACGGGAACAGCTAGTCTTTTAAAAATAGTAGGGTATTAAATTGCAGGTCTGTAGGTAGCGGTCGGTTTGCTAATTCGTCGAATTATATTAGCCGTTTGCTCTTTTGCCACCTTATAATGTAAAAAAAAAACATTCTTTAATAGTATAGCAATACTTAGCAACAAATATACTTGTCATTGATATTTCTATTTTAGATAAAGAATAGATAAAATTCTACAATCTCTGATAGATGGTCATGGAAAGGTTAGGCTACGTTGATCGGCTTATGACGTCATCAGCTCATACTATGCCCCCAGGTTAGGGTGACCACATTGGCAAAGCGTGTTGCTTGACTTCATACTGTTTGCATCACAATTATTTTCTCCACAGTAAGAACGCCGTATATTTGCATCTATGTAATTGAATAATTGAACGTACTGTTACGAATTTGTTTTGTTTTTATATTTTTTGTTAATGCGGACAGAGTCGTGGGCACCGACTAGTTGTTTAAGCATTTATCTGACTAGGCAATTATCTTGTCAGTGTAGATAATTACTTTATTAATCATCAGATATATTAAAAACCTAAACTATAATGACTTCCTTATAATATTAGTATTCAATACTATCAATACAAACAAAATAAATTAAAAAAACCATCTCTTTTGGGTTTTTTTAAGCTTATTATAGATTAGATTCTAGTATTTGTAGATAATTAGTTAATAAATATTGAAATATGATAAAATAATAGTTATTATTTCAACAAAAGCAACGCATATTAAATTGCTTTTTATTCAAATTACGCACGTAAAAGGAAGATTATAAAAATATTAAAACAAATGTTGGTTGTAATTCAATTTTTTTTTAAAAAAACTTTTTTTACAATCGTATAACGGCTTTTGAGTATGGAATAATTAAAACAACTGATATTAATTCGTAAATATATTCTAATTATAGTGAAAAATTATGTTTGAATATTATATTAGACAACAAGTATGGATAAGTTTACGATGTAAGTATTTTTTTTTTGTTTTAGAAAATTTGGCTGTTCATTTTTATTACATTATAAATTTTTCAATTAATCTAGATTACGAATGCTATTAATATTAGAAGTTTATGGTAGATATTGTTGGTAATAGTTGGTAAAAATTGGTATTCTTACTATCTCCAAAAATTAACGTTCGTCGATAAAATTTTCCACAGATGTAGATCATAATCTGGAAGAAAACACATGTTAGTATTTATTTTTAATTCCGAGTGAACAGGACAGGATAAAGGCCAGTACGTAAACAACTGTGACTGTAGAGTTAGTATATTTTCAGTATACATTGGGCAGATCTTAGTTGGCTACGGTCTAGGATGGACCGCACCTATCATCCCTAAGCTTTCTGATACCAACACATCACCGTTGCCATATGAACTCACAGAAACGGAAACATCGCTAATTGCATCTATTATTTACGTTGGTACTATCTTAGGTAAGTTGCATTTTACTATTGCAGAGAGCTTAAAATCTTTAATAGAGTGGACTTTAACTATTCAATTTCTCTACAAAATCATCGAAATAGCAAACAAATGCCATTTATTACAAGAGATTACGACATGACCCGTCTATTGATTACATATATTTAATGTCTTTGTTCAACTTATGGTAATTTCGCTGAAATGAAAAGCGAACGCTACCGATAAACATCCACAATTGCAGATGCGTTGCCTACCCTTAATTGACGGAGGAGGAGACGTACATAAAGAGGACATTTCCCCTTCCTATGCATCTCCTCCACCGTCAAATCCACTTTACCTTCTATCCTTTCCTCATAAGAAAATGATGGAAAGGGAAAGCGACTAAAATTAGGCCTCCGGCACCACACTCATTAGACGAAACGCGGAATTGCTTCCACTTCACGCCTGTTTTCTGTGTGGTCGTGGTATTGCACCGGGCGAGCTGGCCCATTTGTGCGAAGATGTTAAACCGGGCTCTACCACTGGTAATACCTACAGAATAGGATATTTTTAAATTAATTGTATCGTAAAGAATGAAAAGGAATGAACTAGAATTTGGTCTCCAGCACACTCTTCATCCAAACGTGGAACTTTGCTAAGCTTTAAAAGGGTCATTCGTGTACCAGCAAAATACTACGATATCTTCAACCACTGTTTACTTCACTATTACCATATTCCTTCCAATATTTCCATTCTAAAGCCAATAAATTACAATCTTTATAATCTTATTATGCAATTTTCAGGGCCATATGTAACGAGTTATTTGTGCAACGCGGTCGGTCGCAAGCCTTGCTTTATCCTAGCCGGAGTTTCGTCTCTTATATCTTTCCTACTTCTCGCAATCGCTAATAACCTAGCTATGATATACGTTGGAAGAATATTATGTGGTTTAGGATCTGGAATTATATTTATTGTAAACCTTGTCTACATTGGGGAAATAGCGTAAGTACACATTTGGTATACAAAAGGTCTAGAGAAAAGATTGAAATTTTAATTTTACGTTTATCCAAGAATATGATTAAACTAGAACTTCGCAACGCTCGAAACTTCGTCCAAGTGGAATTGAAAAAAATTCAAAAAGATATAGACTATGTTACTCAGTGATAACATAGCTTTTTAATGATGCAAGAATTTTTGAAATCGACCTATTAGTTTTTGGGTTATTGCAATACATACGAAAGTCGAAAAATAAAAATCTTTCTTTTCGTAAAATTAAGTAGTACAGATTAATGAGAACGATGATCGGAGACACGAGATTCTAAGTTCTTTCTCTTTTCAATACAGCGTACTAATTACGTTAAAAGCTATCATCTTCCAATTTCTTTTTGTAAATTAAAACATCACTTATTTATTTATGGGACTTTCATTTATCTCACGTATATTTGGATGAGATTTATTTTTGATTTTAATTTTTATATTTTCCAGGTCGACCAATATTCGAGGTATATTGTTAACGAGTAATGCAATTTTTACAACTCTGGGTACACTTATCGTATATTCAATAGGCCCTTTTGTCTCGTACCCTTTGGTGTCTTACATTGCAGTGCCTATTTCTGGAATATACTTACTAGGAATCATATTTATACCAGAGTCTCCTACGTCTTTGATGTTAAAATGTATTCTACATACATTCTACGTTGTAAAAAAATAGTCGTTGTTGTAATTATCATATACTAGTTGTTGCTTGCGACTTTGCCCGCGTATAATAAAAAAAAGACAATAAAAACGTAGCCTATGTTACCCACTGATAATGTAGCTTTTTAATGGGCCAGTAGCTTATGAGTTACTAGGTTTCGCCCGCGACTCCGCGTGGAATTAAAAAAAAAAAGCAAGTAGCCTATGTGTTTTCCAGACTATCCTCTACATCTATACCAAATTTCATCGAAATCCGTGCAGCTGTTTATGCTACAAACTCTAACAAACATCCATCAATCCATCTAAACTTTCGCATTTATAATATTAGTATGAACTATGATTTCAATACAAGTCTTGCCTCTTTATAACATTAGTATAAATTAGATTATTTTTCTACCAGATGAGGTTGTAAATATCAAAATGAATTGTTCAGAATTAACGTAAAAACTGTACACGTTCAGATAGGAGAGACGCTGCCAGAAATGTATTAGAACAGCTAGGAAGGCGTAAAGAATACCATGATTACGAAGAAATGAACAAGAATGTTGAAGAGCATAGCGCTTTAGAAGAGTGGAAACAGCTCCTCACAGTCAAGAGCAATAGAAAAGCTTTATTTATTACACTAACTTTAGGAATATTGTAACAATGCAGTGGTATTTTACCTGTCATTTTCTTCGCGACGACGATATTCCAATTAGCCGGTTCATCTATAGAACCGCATATAGCTACCATTATTATTGGCGTGACACAAAAGTCTTCGAGTACTTTAACTCCTTTCTTCATTGAAAGGGTTGGAAGGAGGATATTGCTAATTTTTTCAACATCAATATGCACGTTAAGTTTGGTGAGTTTATTTAATAATATAAAATATAAATAATTTATAATATTTAATAATATGACGTGGCATTACAAACTTTGGCAATCTTGCATCCTTGATGTTGGTAGCAACTTATGGTCTCTTTCCATCATTAGGATTTTTATCTAAAATATTTACCCCTAAGTTTAATGGCGTGAAAATATATAGCTTAAAGCGTGACGTAAGTGTAGGGCTTTTCATTAAAGAAAGAATTATTCAAAAATATGCTGTAATTGCTGACATTTTTGGCAACAAAGAAGTGTGTGTTTACGCTTTATTATAATAGTGTAGATGTAATAAAGCAATTGTTATTATTGTTTAGATGAATTATGTGAGACAGTAAATAAATGGATTGTTATCATGAAAGATAAGATGTAAGCAAGAGAGCAACACTTGAGGAATGGAAAGGAATAAATCAGTTTGGATAAGTTTTTGGGCTGACTATAGAGTCATACTATATAGACTATGGAGTATTCTACTATATAGAGTATAGAATACTTTTAATGATATTTTGTTTAGCACGGTAAAGTTGACATAGAGAATGGTGTAAGGCTATTTTTAAATAAAAACAGCGGTCGAACTTATGATCAAATTTCAAACAATTGACAACCACAAGAAAATAGTAATACGTTTTTAAGATAACAATCGCCTTGTCTTTTAGTTATGGATATAATGTAATTGAGATTTATAATAAGGAATTTAATTAATTGTGAACAGGCAACCCTGGGTGTATATTTCTACTTGGACAACATAAGTCATCCATCAGTTACAAAAATGCAATGGTTACCATTGGTGACATTAATTATATTCTTCCTTTCTTATGACTTCGGTGAGTAATTATTTAATTTTACGATGTTTTCTATATGTAATTTTGTCTGTTTATCTTTGACATTAGAGGGCTTATCATGCTTATTCGTGAGAATATTTTCGTATCGTCATCGACAAAATTTGTATTAGATTTGCGCAGTATACAGGGCATGAGAGCACCAATAAATCCTATATACATATTGTGGTTAACATTACCAACACGTTCTCGTAACTGTCATGCAAATATTCGTGATACACCCTTTGTAGTCTAAATGAATTGTGCGTCTAGAAAAGTGGAAAAAAGTCACCTTGTATGTATAATATTACCAATGAGAACAGACAAGTAAGAAAAAAATTAATTGCAGGGTTTGGTATGATACCGGGGACGTTAATTGGTGAAATGTTCCAATCGAATGTAAGGAGTATTGGATCGACTATCAGCGTGACCGTACCTTGGATGTTCGGCTTCGGTTTGACGACTGTCTTTGGTTACATGATATCTGGCCTCGGGAGTCATGTCCCATTTTGGATATTCTCCAGTATGTGTGCGCTGGCTTGTATTTTCGGAATATTCGTCGTGCCCGAAACAAAAGGAAAGACATTGATTGAAATACAAGAAATGTTAAATAAATGAGTAAATGTGGGGTTTTTTTATTTTGCAATTTTTGTATTAGTTTAAGCTTAGAACTATAGTCGATGTATTATGTTAATTTAGTTTAAATCAGTAAATGCCAATGGTCTAAATTTGACCGTAAGTTTTGAACTTTTAAAGTTCACGTGAAAGAAGTCGTGGGCAACAGCTACCTAAAAATAACCTTATACAATTCATAAACGATAACTGTGCTAAAGACGTTTACTTGTAAGCATATTTTTATGTAAATTATTCATTTTATTTATTAAAGCCTCTATTTACGTTCAGTTATAACTGTACAGTTAAACGATTTCCTTACACAAACACTTATAAAAGGCCGCTCTATAAAAGACTCTCAGTTTGTGTAGAGGGCTTTAAAATATATTATTTACTGGCTGTTGCCCGCGTTTTCATCAGCGCAGAATCAAGAAAACTTGTGCTCGTGTTCTAGTATTTTTCCAGACTGCGCTCTACTTCTATGCTAAATTTCATGGAGATCCATTCAGCCGTTTAGGAGATAGTAAAATCTATCCAAACAAACTTTTGCATTTATAACATTAGTAATAAGAGATTATCTGTTAAGTGCCATCGTGTGACTTCATTTTTTTTATCACAGAAATAAACATATTATTTCGAAAACTGTATAAGATAAAAATCAATTAAGAAATAAAACAAAATTATTATTTTTTTATTTAACACGCGAATCTATTCCGGCTATGGTATTATTAAACGACAAAATCCGGTTTACTGAATGGAGTCACATAATCTTTGTTTGCGCGTTACAGTTCGACTAATTTATCTGGCCAGGTGTGAGAGGTGTCATTATTTTGTGACTGCACTCTTAAATAAGTTTTATATGTTAATCGAAATGTAAACAAAGCATTCGTCTGTTGTTTAAACATTGATCGTCCTTTGTTTCGCTGGAAAGTCAAACGGCAGAATACTGAAATGAGAATATGTTGGGGGAACAAGTGGGCGGCATAGAGACATGAAAATACTGAAACGCATTCTTAATACTTCTCTTCATAAAAAAGGTGTTTCCGGAGATGTTTGGGAGTTTACTAGTTTTATGTCTATTAACGAGATTATTTATAAATTGAATACAATGGTATAAAAATTTTATTTCATTCCATATAGCTGTTGCTCGTGACTTCGTCCACGTGTGAAACATAGCCTATGTTACTTAACAATAACGTAGCTTTATAGCGGTGAAAGAAGTGATTAAAGTAACCCGGTTTTTGAGTTATTTCAATACATACAAAAATCAAAAATACAAATCTTTCTTTTTACAATACTAGAATTTATTACCGTTGTACACATGCAAAAATCTAATTGTGTGTAATCTAATTTATATATATATAATAATAAATTAGACTAAGTCAAATTTACTAACAAAGGAATGGATGTTTGTCTGTAAAAATTATAATAAATGAATAAAATAAGAATAATACTGTGTCTAGGTCAAAATTTGATATGACTATAGTCTGTGTTATGCCTACCGGGTCAAATATATTCGTCTGTCTATAGTTAAACAATGTAGTTGAATAATTATCAATTGTAATCCTATTTTGTATTCACACGTTAATGTGTCTGAGAATACGGAGGTACATAGTATTTTGCTTTGCTTGAATTATTTTAGATACTGTTACGTAGCTAAAATGTTTGGATGTATAAAATCACCAATTATAAGACAATATGCAGTAGTGATTCTTGGTAAGTTTTTTTTACATATAATTTAAGGTGGAATACGAGCAAGTGGCCAGTTGAATACACCGAAATGGAAAGCGACCGCTGCCCATAAACATCCGCACTTGTAGATGCGTTGCCTACTCTTCATTGATGGAGAGAAGAGAGTTATTTTAAATTTTTACTAAACCTGACTTGCATTAATATTAAAGTAGAAAATATAACGACTAGTGCAAGAAATAGTTGTATTAAATCTGATAATTATTATTTAGTTTCTAAGGTATGCCTTGGAGAAGTCTACTTGGTACGATACAAGCGGAAAGGTTTTTTTATTTGTTGCTGTTGCTCGCGACTTCATCTGCATGTAATTAAAAACAATAAAAAAAATATAGCTTCATTGATAACATAATTTCTGAATTGTGAAAGAATTTTTGAAATCGCCCCAGTAGTTTTCGAGTTATTCCGATACATGCAAAATATTTATTATTTATTCATCTTTATATTTAATAATATAATCTATATCTATATAATAATAATCTATACTAATGTATAGATAATAAATTAAAAAACTGGCTGAGGTTAAAGGAGAAAAAGTACACAAAGTCAATTTAAAAAACTATTGTGGTCGAATTTCATCCATCTCATCACATAGGGCGTGACCCTAGTTTGGACACCAGTCCCCTGCCCAAGAGGGAAATTAATAAAGTTATTTTTATTTTTTTATTTCGACCAAAAGCATCGGTTCAAATGTCAAGTGCATTGTTGCATTACATTTTTGATGATACTTAAATAATAATAACTCTAAAGATAATTAATAAAGTGCTATTAAAAACCTTTGTGGCCTTGTCCAAAAATCATGTGAATTAAACAAACACAATGCTGATGTTATGTTGTAAGATTTTAGTACATATTTTTTTATTATTTTGCCATTTTTCAGTTAACGTCAGTATCTTCTCAACTGGCATGAATTTAGTTTGGTCATCGCCAATGCTTGTAAAGTTAGGCAATGAAACGGAGACAAGTCTGTCACATGTTATAAACGAAAACGAGGGTTCCTGGATAGTGTCTGTGGAATTCATATTTGCTTTTATTTGTAAGTATGATATGCTATATAGTATGGAGTTCGGGGACAGAAACTTAATAAAGAAATCCTGCTTTTGGGGGCAGGCTTGTGTGGGGTTTTACTAAAACCTCTTTGGTAGCCATTTTTTTTGCGATTGACAAGGATCCGGGATCTCCGGTGAAAGGCACCGGTGCCCTGCTTGCTCTCTGTCTAAGGATGTTATCTCTGAGGCAAAGTATATTGCTGGCTAGAAATGAAGAAAACAATACTTTATTTGGTATTTCTCTACCTTTCACATCAAATTTTTCCAGTTTATTTAATCATCATATCTTCGTATATGTCTATACAATAGTAGCCTTTGTGTAATTTCCTCCAGTCTAGCAACAATCCTAACCATGAACTAAAATCAACGAAATCTTTCTACAGTCAAATAAAAAGATTAACCATTAGATTAGATTAGAGTTTGCATGTGCCAATTGTTCTTCAAATATTAACAAAGATAAATCTAGAATAAGATTTTCTTCGCATCATTGTAATGTGATGACGTCATCTAATTTCAAATTACGAACACTTTAAAGGAGGGAGAAGGAAAAATACTAAACTTGCAAACCAGTACCTTAGGCTCCTTCAATACAATCTCCTCAAAGGCCGGCAACGCATCTGTAGTTCCTCTGGTGTTGCGGATGTACATGGGCGTTGTTGACCAAACTTGTGATCCCGCCGTTCATTTGTCCCTTTCCTTATATAAAAAAAACCAGAGCATTTTGAATACGTCATGTCATATGAACCAACCCTGGGTCAGCAAGGTTAGCAATAGCTGACTCCTCATTCAGGGCCCCGACAGGATAACGAATGGACACCGAAGGGGTTGAAGACGGTGTCCCTTCGGTTGCTTTATGTTATTCTAATGTGTTCATTTTATTTTCCAGTTAATGCTATAGTGGCTTTGTTGTTGGATAGTATAGGAAGAAAATACTGCGTGGTAATGGGATGTGTACCAAAAATTATTGGTGTCACAATTTATATCTTGGCTACTGAAGTGTGGATGCTGATAGTGGCTAGATTAATGTTTGGTTTATCCGACTCATTTATATTAATGAGTGTACCAGTTTATACATCTGAGATTGCAACTGTAAGTTATTCCAACGTTTTTTCTTAAATCTGTATATTAAGCCTTTTCTTGCATGATTATAAGATCCACTCGGTATCATATCATATGTACACACTTCCTACGTTTCTTATGACGTCATTGTAGAGCTGTGCACATTTCTATTTTCTATGCAGAGGGTATAAGAAGTTTATCCTCTCTATTAGATATCCTTAGTTAGATGTGATCAACGCATTACTTTGCCTACTTTCAGAAGCATATCAGCTGTTTTAATGCTGCGATAGAATTTTTTTTTATTAAAAAAATGAAATTTCAATTGTTTTGCTTGTTGAAGTCATTTGTTTGTTACAGAAAAACACACGTGGAGCTTCTTGCACGTTGGTTCAGATATTTTCCAGTCTGGGGATTGTATTGACGTTTTCAGCTGGTCCTTTTCTATCGTATAAAGAGTTTAATATTATGTTTGCAGTTATAATAGTTGTAACAGGAATACCAATTTTATTGTTACCAGAAAGCCCATATTTCTTATATAATAAAGGTAAGTTTACAGTGTAGTTTTATTTTGAATTCAAGAAATAAAGCATTTTTTGTGTTAATATTTATCTTTGTTTAATACGTTATTAACAGGACAAGAAAAAGAAGCAATTAAGGTTCTTAAATTCCTCCACGGATCAGAGCATTTAGCTTTGCAAGAAGTCGAAGAGTACACACTATCGTCCAAACAGGAGAAGGTTAACAAAATCGCAGTACTCAAGAATCCAACAGTTCGAAAAAGCTTATTAATATCGGTGATATTTTCAATAGGTAGTCAAATGGTTGGCTACAATGCTGTGTCTTATTATTTGCAAACGATATTAATATCTACACATACATCAATAATGCCAGAAATAGCATCGGTTGTGATAGGAATCATTCAGTTTGTTTCAAGTTTTCTCACGATGTTCACAACAGATAGATTTGGTAGAAAGATTATATTGATATCCTCGCTCGTTGGGATGACCATTGGCTTGGTAAGGACTTCCATTGCTTTTAATTCACTGATCTTTATAAATGAATAGGTCTTTATTTTAAAAGCGCCTGTTGATGTGATAGTTAATTATATCTTTATTTGTAATTCCGATCCTCACTATTCTCACTAGTAGCGACGGTCAGCGTCAAATAGCACGTCTTGTATACTGTCCATTTATAGAGATCAGTGTTGTACATGCTCCACTCGAGGTCGTCTTGTTATAAAAATCTTCTAGGACAATCTATGTGTTCTGTGTATATTAAAAAGACGAACAGTTTAGGCTCTAGATAGTATTGGAGTGGAATGTATACCGAAAACGTTACCCTACAAAACGAGTAACAATTTATTCCTCTGAATTTTGTTAAAAGAATTCAATGTGTTTGATTATTTTCGATTTTCAGATTGGCTTAGGGACATTCTTCAAATTAAAACCACCTAATAGTGAACCAGTCTCCGGGTTCTTAAACATTCTTCCATTGATTTCGTTAGTGATTGTCGTTTATTGTTACAATGCTGGTAAGCTTTTCAATTGCTATTAAAACTAATTTTTGGAACACCATTTATAAAGCCTCAACATTAGTGATGCAATAAAATGTTGACTAGTAACTTTTTTTATATTCTTTAAAATCATAAAAATGTGATTGGATAATTGAAATCAATTGCATTGAGCAATAATAGTATTGTTTCTTTTACATTATTTTCACCAATACGTAAGCATATACAGGATACGAAAGTAAAAAATATTTGTGTGATTCCAGGGATTGGATCATTGATATGGGCAACAGTAACAGAACTATTCGATGGTCCAGCTCGAGCATTCGGCGTGGCTGTAAACTTAGGAGTAAACACAACATTAATATTTCTTACGACCAAATACTTTCCAATACTGATATCTGAAGTCGGTCCAGCGATTACTTACTGGTCTTTTGCAGTCGTATCCATATTATTGTGTCTGTTTATTATATTCTTTTTACCAGAAACTAAAGGTAAATCGTTTGGAGAGATACAGGATGATATTGCCAAGAAAACAAAAGAGGAAATAGAAGAGGCGAATTAATATTATCTAATAACTGTTTCTTGATACAAAAATGTGTTATGTCGTTGAATTTTTTAATTTGATTTTTATTTTTAGTGTAAGTGAAAGTATATTTAAATTGTCTAAGGACGCTAGATGGCGCTATAAAATTGAAATAACGCACTATCAGAGGTCGTTATTAATATCGCTGTTTGTGCAACGTGGGAACAATTTTGATGCAAATAAAATTTATTACTTAACTGTAGAAGGATATAAATAGCGACTAGAAAAAACATGCATTTTAATTACATCTAGTACAAAATTACTTTGTTTTGATATTATTCGAGTTTAACTAACTATTGTTTTCATGTGAGAATCGACTAGTTTTTATGTTTCAGACAAACAAGTAATAACTTATAAATCTTTATTTTAATACGCCAAGTATTATCAGGTTTTAAAAAAAAGCAAAATATGTCATCAAAATAAGAGAGAGAAAACTCAAAACAATTTCCCGAAGGAAAGTTCACATAATGCTTATACTAAAGAGCGGGTCCATTATCGTTTCGAATAAAAACCAAGTCGGCAACGAGCTTTCTTATCATGCCTGTATCACATATAGGGTCGTTAGCTGCCATAAAACCTCCCTGATTAACTCCACGCTTTATTTTACATCGAAAGAAATAGCTTTAGTGGTTGTCATTATGTTTTATTACTATAACAAAAGAAAACTGTATTGGAGAGAAGAAAATGGATAAAATAAAATAAATACGATTTCATGGCATTGGCCCAGGGGTTTAAGAACTTGACTACAGGTCTTGGGTTCAAATTCCGCCATGTACCAATGTGATTTTCCAATTTCGTCCATACATAATTTACCCGACGTTCTTACGGTGTAGGAAAACATCATGCAACTTGCACATATCGGCGAAGAAATTTAAAGACATTTGTGAAGTCAACCAACCCCACTGTGCCAGCGTGGTTGATTATAGCTTAGTCACCCCTTACTTAAGGTAGGCTTCGAGCCCCTTCGTGGGGACGTATACTGAGCTGGTGATGATGAGACCCTGAAAGTTAATCGACCCGGTGGCCAGAAGTGAAACTTAGTTATAAAACCTCACTAGCGCCCTCTAGTTAATGTCAAAAAACGTCTAACGAGTATGCGTGTCGGAGCACAAATTATCTAGTATTTCCGGAGGTTTAGCGTGTGTTGATTGACAAAATTTTTGTTAGTCTTGTTAAATATTGACTAAGAAATAAGACAAAATCTGGTGGCATGATTGTTAGCTTTGCTAAATAAAACTTCCTAGGAATTATTTGTGCAAATAACTATGCACATATATTACTTCGTAACCATACGAAAGTTGTGATCACAATTCAGAGCAGTTGGTATTGCAAAACTTTTCTTGTATTGGCCGTAGTTTTGGACTATCGAGAAATGGACCAGGCTAAGCTACTTTTGTACTACATAAATTCTGTCAATTTTTGTGTATGGTGTCAGTAACTTAAAATTTAAAGTTCTATGAAAGAATATTAACTTCAAAAGCACACCGAAATATTTAAACAACAAGTAACAAGTAACAAGAAGTACGGTAGTTATGAGTGTGGAGGTACACCGGTAGAGATCTAGAAAGAGATGGATGGATTGCTTGAAAGGTGGCAGATGAAGAAGGGATTGATGACTGAGATGACGTATAATAGAGAGAGTGATCCTGTCTCTTAAAAGTCAAAGGACGAAGCAATCGCAGCAGAAGTCGCAAAACTTATTCACTTTTATATCTTCTTGGAGTTGTTATAGTGGTTTAGTTATATGTTATTAAAGTTTGGCATACTTTAGTTTAGTATCTATATGTCTTTGTTATCTTCTAAGACTTATTAAGAGTGATAATGATGGAGTACTTTGTATACTTTAGTTTTTCGTGCTAGTACTTATTGCTCAGTACTTCAATGGATTTTTTTAACTTGCTTTGGCTTATTATAATTGATATAAAACGTAAAATAAATTTAAGAATTTATTAATAGTTTTTTTTTTATTATTATCTTTTGTAAACCTAGTTTCTTGACTTCTTTCATAATAAAAGCAAAATGATGAAAGTTTTGTCATATAAAGGCACTTAACATCGTTTTTCTTATCTTAGAAATAATGAATATATAACAATACTTTACACTATCCATTTTAATCGTATTTGCAGTGTTCACTTAAAAATAAAAAGTCGACAACGTCTTTATCTATCTTAATAAAATAACATATTATTTGGATTATCTTCGAATATTCTGGAACAACGAAATTCTATTCCAATAATAGATGAAAGTCTGCGAAACCCAGACAAGAAATAACATAAATTTTCTATATTGCTTTTGGATAAGGTTGGATTTTAAAATAGCATTTCAATCATTTTAAATCTGTAAATTATTTTAACGTTATTATCGTTAACGTTATTATTTATCAATAACATATTGAGAATAGTAGTTATTTTTAAAAATTCTACTATTAATAACTATAAGCATACTTTTACCCGTGACGTTGACAGCGTGGAAAAAATTAAGTCTTCATTTTGCTTTGGAAAAAAAATACCAAGAGAATAGGAGTAAAAACGTGTCTTTTTATTGACAAAATTCATAGAAAATGACATAAAAAGAAAAAGATGATATCAAAGCCATTACAAAACCTATTTGATTTATTTAGTTGAATGTTTAACATATGTTTCAAATTAAACAAAAACAATTAATTAGAGAGAAACATAAATCACTCTCGGGTCGGCGTTTGGTCCGAGATACACAAAGCCGTATAAAGTTCGCCATAAAATATAAATAGTTATCAAGTAACTTATGCACTGTCGCTGAAGATTCAATTTAGTTTATCATTACCTAGTGTTAGCTTTTTAAATATTTTGATGTACGAGTATTTTGTATTCTTGAAGGTTATTTAGTCTGTGCTATAAATCAATACCATTTATATTTATTTAAAATAACAATATAAACTTTGTACTTGTGATCCAACACATTATTTAAATATTTATATCGTGGTTTTAAAATGTCGGAATTCTACTTGTTATATTAATAATCGGACAGTAGTCAGATGTCAAAATAAGGTTATTGCTTTGGCTCGACGACACGACGGCCATATTGGTAGTAGCGAGCGATGAAACATGAAAAACGGTATTATTGGTAAGGTTATTCTGTGCAAATTGGAAGAAAAATAAGAGGTAAAGAAGACTATATTTTGTTAAAGCATAACATGGCTGTAACGCCCATACTAAGTATCATAGGCTGTAATTATTGCTGGAAAGTATATTTTTTACTCTACACTGTAACTGCGATGTGTAAATAAATCGCATTCAAATGTGACATTAAAAAAGTAAAAGAAAAAGATATGATAAGGAATTAAAGTACTTACTGCGTTGGCGCAGCGACCCAAAGTGGGTCTTGGCCTCCGACACGAGAGAGCGCCAGCGTCGTCTGTCCTGTGTCGTCGCCTGCCAGGAATTAAAGTAGGTAGTTATATTATAATATAATTTCCTTACTGTACTTATAATCATCACCATCATCATCATCACCAGCTCACTATATGTCCCCACCGAGGGGCTCGGAGCCTACCCTAAATAAGGGTGATTAAGCCATAGTCAACCACGCTGGCCAACTGCGGGTTGGTTGACTTCACACATATCTTTAAATTTCTTCGCCGATATGTGCAGGTTTCATCACGATGTTTTCCTTCACCGTAAGAACGTCGGGTAAATTATGTACATATGAAAATTCGAAAAACGAAAATCACATTGGTACATGGCGGGATTTGAACCCAAGACCTGTAGATTATAAGTCAAGTGCTTAAACCACTGAGCCACCGACGCTCTTCTAAGTATTAATAAAAATATCATAAACGGCATGCCGGAGTGCGTTTAAATTACCCTAAAATGTCTAGATATTTCTTAAAACACAAACGCAGTAAAGACGATCTTTCAGTACAAAAAGTTGGGGGCCCATAAAAGTTGTGAAAGCGACAATTTCGCCGAGCCATTTGTCGAACAAAGTACATCTTTAGTTTAATGCATCAATTATCTTACGTACCTTAATCATTCTTTTCGTTATAATTTTTGAAGCAAGAATTATTTTGGTGGATTTTTTATGTCGCTAACTTTGTTATAGTGGGTTATCTCTTTTTGTGAAGAGGAACGACAAGGATGATTGCTTTTTTAATGTTACTAAAATATGTTCTTTACCGACTTCAAAAAGAAGAATCGTTTTTTAATGTATGTACTACCTCGATTACTCTGAGATTTATGGATGCTATTTACGTGATTCTTCTTTTCTTTGATGCAGAATATCTGCCATTAATTTTAATCCAAATATCACAACAAAACATTATTGAGTCGTTTTCGAGTTTCTCTTAAAAAAAACGTATCAAATGCGGAAAGTATTGTCTTGAAGTCGGTTTTTGTTATTTTTGTTAAAACATTTGATTATATTTCAATTTTTTAAGGTGGGAAAACAAGCGGCCACTTACATAGCTTCAGATTGAACCACGGTAGCAGCGCCATTTCACCTGGCTAGGCGTTCTTTTACAATATTGGTACGAGCGTGGGTATAACATATGGATAATTCTTTAATTTATTCGTATCAGGACACAATTATCTGTTAACACTACACGACACACACAAAGAGTCATAAGCACTGAGCACTTCACAAAACACCACTGACACTAAAACACTTTTATTTCACTGTCACTTTTTCTTCTTCACAGTTCGCTTTCCACCATAAGACTCCCCGGGTCGGATCTGACTCCCCTTTATATATATCCCGAATTTCGATCTTCTTTTGTCTTTTTGTTTCAGTACATTCTCGATTGCTCGAATCGCATACTTGTTCCAATAGAAAATTCTCGATGCCGCTTCGAATGTTCGAGACATCTTTTCGCGAATGTCTTTTCCGCTAGTAGCCAGCAGATGGCGCTGTGGTAGAACATTCTGGAAACAGTTCGATTGTTCGGTGGACATGAATTCTGTTACTCATCAATAGATGACGTCGAGACAATATATACTCAATCAATATCTCAAAATTTATTCTAGTTGGTACTTTGGTTAGTGTTGTGGTTAATGTTCAGTTTACATTATTCCAGTCCAGCACTGGATTACAACTGACATAATGTAAATTGACTTAAATTGACTAAGGTAATAGTACCAGTAATTGACAGTTGAGTGTCGTTAAAGCGCTATTTTCTCGTTCACATTTCTTCCGATGCTAGTAGATACATTTTTTAAAAACATATTAAGGTCCAAAAAAATTAATTAGTCCTGCAGACAACCTATCCTGTACCTGTATTTAATATAAAATAATCCTTTTATGAGTTGTTTTTGTTTTTTTTATAAGCCTTAAATTAAATTTAAATTTACCAGTTGTAATCCGGCGATAAATTTGATCAGTCAATTGGAATAATGTAAACTGGTTGTAAGGCTTTGACTTGAGATGGTACTAGAGTTGTTTAACCTCCGTCAATACAGCCTTCGAATGTACGTTAATTAATGACACGTCGCACCTCAGATACCTTATTATTTACAGTGATGTGGCTACACATCAAATAGCTCCAGACAACACAAGGTACACTATTATTCATGATTTATACATAGGTATTAATCTATCTATTATACTAATATTATAAATGCGAAAGTTTAGATGGATGGATGTTTGTTAGAGTTTGTAGCCTAAACTGCTGAACGGATCTCGATGAAATTTGATATAGATGTAGAGGATAGTCTGGAAGAACATACAGGCTACTCACTTTTGATTTTTAATCCACGCGGATCGAGTCGCGGGCGAAAACTAGTACTAAATATAATATAGCATAACCCTACGCTAAGTTCTTCGTGGCGTAGGATGTCAGCAATCACAGCATATTGAATAATTCTTTCTTTAAAAATAATCTTTACACTTACGACACGCGTTATGCTGTATATTTTCACAATATTGTAGGAAAATACACCTTCAAGTGGGAAAGACACCATAAACTACAAGCTGCCAAAATTCAGGAAACAAGGTTGTTATGGTAACGGTAATTTTGACATGCAATTGAGAATTTGACAAATACAAACAATAAAATACAGTTTTTATAATGACAAAGCTGCACTGGAAAAGCTAGTAATACATACAAATAAAATAAGTCTTTTGGTATTAAAAAGTTTTCTGAATGAATAAAATAGAATATTTTTATGAGCTTTTTAAAAATTCTGTGCGTACGAATTCGTGGGCAAAAGCAAATCTATTATAATCAGTAAGCGGTTTAATGTATTCTTCGCATATTTTGGAACTTTAACCTATAGTATATGTAGTGTATGGTCACACTGTTTACTTTTGTCATGGTGTCATGCCAGCAAGTCAGTAGTGTACAAGCCACTGACGGTAGCGGACTTCCGAAGCATACAGTACAGTATAGATTTACGATACGTTAGAACATAGTCTGGAAGAACACATAGGCATACATTTGTTTTTTTTTAATTACACCCAAATGGAGTCTCTGTAGCCAGTAATACATAAATTATATCAGTGTTGAAGGTTATATTAAAATAAGTAGACACGTTAAAATATTGCACGACCGGTAATAAAATATAGGATTTGCAGAATACGTCGCGGAATGGGATTCGTTTTTATGTCACATTAAAAGCTTTTATGATATATGTCGTCGTTACTATATATTGATTGGGGCCCAGAATATATTTAGATATAGTCCTGATTTTAATAGAAGTATTATGAAATAGTATAGAGTATATTTTTAAGTTCTCTATTCCTTTAATGAAAAACACAATAAATTCTCAGTGAACAGCTGTGATTTCTCTGCCATTATTGGAAATTGCAACATTTGTTAGAAATTGTGATTTTGTAATATTTCCTACATTCGAATATTTTCGTGTCATTGTGTTGCATGTTTGAAATTTTAAAAATATGTAACTATTCGAAATAAAGCAAATATGTC